AATCGTGCCACGTCGATGGGCAAAACTTGCGACTCAGCAAAGCGCGCAACAGTACTTTCCCCGCCGGATCCCCAAAGCCGAGCGAGCGGAGTCGGAACCGACCCAGCCGCCGGGAGGGACACGCGGGAGGCTTCGTAGCCCACAGGGCCTCCCCCAGCGTCATAGGGGAGGCCGAGGCGCAGCGCCTGGAGGGCTGCCGCCTGCGAAAGATCATCTGGGGGAGGCCCCAGGAAAGAGACAGAGGACTCAACGTGATCGAGCATACGCTGCTGCCCGAGGCTCAGATCAGCAGGTACAGGTACCCCTTCACGGCGGCCATATATCGTGTTGAGACCTTCTAAGCACCGAAGAACGTCGGCGTGGCGACGCTGCCGACGGCCGACTCTCTGTCGGCAAACTCGCGAGAGCCCAGGTGCTGGTGGCTCCGACGAGCTGAGCAGCTCCGTGGGGAAAGGTAGCATATCCCTCCCCACGTTCCTGTCAAAATTCCCCGGCGGCGCGACGGCGTGCCGAGCATCCCCAGTCATGTCAGGATCCCCCCCACCAGACCTGAGGGACGTCTGGGGGGGGCGGTCGGGCATCACCCCTGGTCCTTCGCCTGGCCCTGCCTCCGCTTGCCCAGCGACTCCCGAGCCTCGCGCGCCTTCAGGAGGCTCTTGGCCAGCGACGCGTCCCGCTCCAGCTCCTGCTTGGCGCTCTCGAGCAGCGCGGGCGACACCATGAGCCTCGACTCGGCCCGGGCCGTCGCCCCGAAGGCGGCCTGCCCGTCGGCGGTGAGCCTCCCCGCGGAGGAGCCCGCTGTCCTCTCGCGCAACTTGTCGCTGTAGCAGTACTCGATCGTCTGGAGCCGGCGGAACATCATCTCCACCGAAAGGATGTTGGACGCGTCCACCTGATCGTGCTGGAGCAACGCCTTCAGGTAGCTGATCACACTGGCGTACTCCTCCATGCCCCACTGGGAGTCCTGGAGCCCGCACAGCTTCTTGAAATGCTCGAAGTGGGACTCGAGAGAGCGGCCCTCGCCCGCGAGGTGCTCGAGGCACCACATTGTCGTCCTCGGCGCGATGAAGTCGGGGAGGTGCTCCTGGCGGCAGCTCTCGACGAGGTTCTCGAGCGTCCGGAAGGGCCTGCCAGCGCGATCGAGGCGGACCGGCAGTAGGCGACAGTCGGGCGCCACCGCCCGGTCGGCGAAGTCCGACTCGTCACCGATGGCCACCCACTCGACGAAGAGAGACGACCCGTCTGCGAGCAAGACGACGCCGCGGGCGGGGGTGCCCGCCCCAGCGAAGCCCGCTGGAGGGATGATCACATCGCCGTAGTGGTACCCCCTCCACTCCTGGGCGACGCGCCAGTTCCCCACGGGGGCGGGGGCGGCGTCGCCAGCGCCACCCGCCAGCACCAGGGGTCGGGCCCCCCCGACCACGGCCGCCGCGAGCGCCGCTCCCGCGGGCGCCGGCGCTCCGCCCGCCTCCCCGCCGCCCGCGGCCGGCGCAGCCCCCGCGGCCGCACCTCCTCGGCGCATCACCCCGCCCGGCAGGGGCGCGGGTGCCGGGGCGACGGGCGCCGCGGCGGGCGGCGGGCCCCCCGCTGGCACCACGACCCATCCTCCGCCCGGCGGCCCGGCGGCGGGGGCCCCCGCGGGAGGGGCGGGCCCGGCGGCGGCAGCCGGCGCCCCCGGCGCAGCCCAGGGCCACGCCTCGAAGACGGGCGCCGGCACGGCCACGCCCGGGTGGCGCCGAGCAAAGCAGCGCCGCGCCTCGGCCTGGGCCTCGGGGAGCCAGGCTGCCACCTCCGCCGCAGTCGGGGCGCTCGCGAAGCGGTAGGCCCGCACGACGCCCGGCGGCCTGGGGGCGAGGGCGGGCGCCCACCGCACCGCGCTGATGTCGGGCGACGTCCCGTCCACTACCTCGCACTGCACCTGGTGGTCTGGCGAGACTAGGATCGCGTCACTCGGACAGGACACCACCCGACCCAAGTTCCAGCGCTGGTGCCACAGGGGAGCTCCCGGCACCGCATACAGGAGGTACGCCACCTGGTCCACCCCTTCCAATGCGGGCACGGCGTCGGCGGCAGCAGCAGCCATCGCTCCACCTCCCGACGTCGCCGAGCGCGATGCCGATCACGAGCGACGCCACTGTCGTCCCCCAGGCCGCCGCCACCGTCGGGGCTGCGGGCGCCGCGGAGGCGCGCCCCCGCTCCTGCTGCGGGCACTGGGGAGCCGGCGCCCCTGGGCAGGCCGGGCAGGGCGGGACCGCGGGACAGGCGCAGTGGCAGTCCGGGCACTCCAGCGCCGGGCACGGCGGCGGCGGCGGCGCCCGACTCAACCAGGAGGCCACGCCATGCGACAGCTGGGTGAGGGCTCCGACCGCCCACGGGGGCACCATGCCCCGTGGGAAAAAGCTTGAGCGAAACGTCAACGGAAGATCGCAGACGGGCGGCCAGCGACGCTTCCCAAGGAGCAACCCTGTTCGGAGAACGACTTAGGAGGAGGAGGAGGAGGAGGAGGAGGAGGAGGAGAGGGGAGGAGGAGGAGGAGGAGGAGGACTCGCAGCGCGGGGTCGCGCGCCGAGCGGGCACACCGCCTGGCCGGCCCGCGCGCGGCGCCGAGGTCCGCGCGGGCAGGGGCAGCGCGGCTCGCGGCGCGGGGGCCGCGCGCCGAGGGGGGGGGGGGTCACGCTGCTGCCTGGCCCGCGCGCGGCGCCGATGTCCACGCGGGAGGTCCAGCGTGGCTCGTGCTCGCTCTCCCTCTCTCTCTCTCTCTCTGTCTCTCTATTTCTCTCTCTTCTCTCTCTCTCTATCTCATTTCTCTCTTCTCTCTATTTCTCTCTCTTCTCTCTCTCTCTCTCTCTCTTATTCACTCTCCCTCTCTCTCTCTCTCTCTCGCTCCGCCACCAGCGTCGGACACTTGGCGCCGCACGGGAGGAGGCCGAGCGGTGCTCTCGCCGCAGCGCCGCGCAGGGACTCCTCTCGCCTCGCGGGGTGCCCTCGCCGCAGCGCCGCGCAGGGATCTACGAAGTGCCGCGTCCGGCCGTGCGCGGCCCGTGCTCGGTTCCCCTCGCCGAGCCGTCTGGCGCAGGACCACGCGCGAGCGCCCTCCGTGCGCCCGGTGGCAGCGCTGGCCAGACCCGAGGCGTTGTGCCGCGGTTGGCTCCCGTGCTGCGGGAGGGTGGGTGGGAGCAGGTGGGGCCAGCCGACTCGCTCGACCTGGCTGACCTGACTCCTGCTCCTACTCCTCCAACTCCTTCTCCTCCTCCTCCTCCTCCTCCGCCGCCGCGTCCTCCTCCTCCTCCGCCGCTTCCTCCTCCTCCTCCTCCTCCTCCTCCTCCTCCTCCTCCTCCTCCTCCTCCTCCTACTCCTCCTTCTCCTCCTCCTCCTTCTGCTCCGCCCCTTGCTCATCCTCATACTCCTCCTGGGGATTCCTGCCGCGCCAGAACAAGCAGTGGGATTGTCGGGGACAAGTCCAGCCCTCTGGCCGGCAGGACAAGCCCCCCCGACGCCCCCGAGACCCCTCCCACAGCCTCGCCCACTCTCAAGTGCTCACTGCCAGCCTGTGAGGTGGCGGGTAGACGTCAGTTCTGATGTGGGGGTTGTGTCAATACAGCCACGAATAGCGAAGGCGGTCGCCGACCTTGTCGTTCAACCGTCTCAGACGCATCGGCAGTGTGGAAGAGATTGGCGGAGGCTTCCAGCAGGTTCCCTGAGTTGTCCAGATGCGTCCCAAGGTCCTCGGAGAATTCCGATAGTTTTCGGTCCATTCATCCGCCTCTTCTCCAATCCCTTAGACAAGGGGGGGGAGGCGGGACACAGGAAACCGTCGTCTTGTCCCCATCCACCTCCTCCTCCTCCTCCTCCTCCTCCTCCTCCTCCGCCGCCTCCTCCTCCTCCGCCGCCTCCTCCTCCTCCTAGTCTTCATCCTCCTCCTCCTCCTCCTTCTCCTCCTCCTCCTCCATCTCATAATCCTCCTCATTGTCCTCCCTCTTCCTCTGCCTCACCACTATCATCACCTTTACCATCATCATCACCATCACCATCACCATCACCATCACCATCACCATCACCATCACCATCACCATCACCATCACCATCAGCATCAGCATCAGCATCAGCATCAGCATCAGCATCAGCATCATCATCATCATCATCATCATCATCATCATCATCATCATCATCATCATCATCATCATCATCATCATCTGTCCTGGTTCCCTGGGCGCGGCGCTCCTTGGGCTCCAGGACCTTGGTCAGAACTGCATCGTATGGCCCTGCAGCGATGGGGCTATGTTCGTGATTTGTGTTTATTGCCAGTCGTACAGTTCGCACGGCAAGATTGCCGCCTTGCACGCCCGCTGCCAGCCGTATCCCTCTCGGTTCGGAAAGTGGGTGTGGTCTAAGATATGTAAGGGGCAGCACCCCAAGCGCCCACTGGTGTCAGTTGAGTACCCGACTGATCTCAGCACCGAGCCCCTTCAGCCACGTACGTTCCGCTCGCAGGCGTCTGCACACTCGGAGGCTGAAGATGACAGGATCGAGTCCGTCGCCGCTTCCTTGCTCGCCGCTGCGAGGCGGGCTCAGGATAATGGGGGGGCGGGTGGGAGGTCGGTCGGGTCGGAAACGTAACTCCCCTGCCACCTGTCAGCTGAGGGGCTGGCCCTCGTCTTCTTGTCTACGTGCGAGGGCATATGTCGTCCGTATAATCTAGTCACCAGCAGAAAGATCTGGGGTCGTGCCTCCATGGTCGCCGCCCCAGAGGTAAATTATCACTACAGTGAATGATTGAAAAAAGAACAATTCCTCCTCCTCCTCCTCCTCCTCCACTTCCTCCTCTTCCTCCTCTTCCTCCTCCTCTTCCTCCACTTCCTCCTCCTCCTCCTGTTTCTGTTCCTCCTCCTCATCCTCCTTCTCCTGCTCCTCCTCCTCCTGCTCCTCCTCCTCCTCCCCCTCCTCCTCCTCCTCCTCCTCCTCCTCCTCCTCCTCCTCCTCCTCCTCCCGCATCGGGGCTCCTGGCTCCCACTCGACGCCGCCGCCGGCGCGCAGCACCACGAGCTTCCAGGCGGAGGGCGACAGCCACATCGAGCCGCTCCATACCTCGGCCGGGAGGAAGTGGAAGAGGAAGAGGAACGGGAAGATGAGGAAGAGGGAAAGGAAAAGGATAAGGAGGGAGGATGGGGAGAGGAAGACGAAGAGGGGGAAGAAAGAAGGAGGGGAGGAAGAGGAAGAGGAGGAAGAGGAAGGGGGGCGGGCCAGCGCTGGGGAGGAAGAGGAGGAGGAGGAGGAGGAGGAGGACGAGGATTTTTTGAACATCGACATCAAAATTCTATACGGCTGGGCCGACGAGTGCCCGTCGAACTCGACAGCAGGGACAAGAGGACCTTCGTCCTCGTCCGTACGAGAGGCCTGCGAGGCCCCCCGTCAAAACTTAGCCTGCCAGAGCGCATTGTTCGCCGAGAGAAAAACCCAACGTTCTCCAGCACGGCGAAAAATACAGTCGGGGGGTTGACCTAAGGAACCCCAAATAAGGAACGAGGCCCCCTTTTCCCATAGGTTCAACCTCGATTTCCCATGGAAAACCTCAGGAAAACCCGAGGCAAAATTTGAAACAATCAAGGAGCACCGAGCCCCTCCCCAACGAAAAGGGTTCCTTCTTCAGCGCCCCGACTGTAGAGGGAAGCCGATCGGCGGGCCGCGTCCTGGGCGCCGACGCTGAAGACGCGCGCATCAGCTGCAAATGCACACGAACACATGGCGCAGTCTTCTCACAAGCACCACGGGATGAAGGAGGAGATGGCGAGCGACGCCCTCGGCGAAGAAAACGCCGATCTGGATCGCAGCCCTCTTACAAAGGTGCTCAAGGTGCCTCTGTCGCGCAGGGTTGCCAAGAGAGCATGACTAAAGGGGAGAAGAAAAAAATACCTCCTCCTCCTCCTCCTCCTCCTCCTCAACATTATCCAGCCCGCCCAACAATTGAGGGCAAATAATCGGGCGCCCGATGCGTGGGCGCCGGCATCAAAGACTTAGATTTAGATGCTGACTCTCACGCATCGACATCTGCTGTGCTTGCGCTGCAGCTGCGACGAGACGGAGGAGAAGATTGCGAGCAGCGCCCTAGGCAACGAGCGCGTCGATGTACAGTGGGCGCACGGCTGCAAGAAACCGCCGGAAGAAACCGGACCCCGAAAATCCACAGAGTTTCTTGCCCAGGGTCTGGGTTTCCCGGCCAGGGGCCCGAAGCGGAGAAACCGAGGGAACCCTGACCCTGGGAGTTTCTTCGCCGGTCGCGCGGGAAAATAGACGCCCGCGGGAAACCATCGCGGGCCGCGCGGAACGAAAAAACCCGAGATGCCCGGACGAAAAACACCCAGTTTCTGGTAAGCGCCCCCACTGCAGATGGCCCTCCTCTTACACACGTGTCCAACATTTCTCTGTCGCGCTGGGCAGCCTGGGAAACATTCGTACCCGAGCGGAAGAACCCCCCAGCATCATACACCCTGCGAAATGCTTAAGAAATCATGGGTTAAGAAATTCAGAGTCTCAGAACTTGAAGAAAACCCAGAACTTCTATCAAAATCTTGGGATTTACATTGAAAAGTTAAGAATAATCGAGACTCTGGACGAAAGCTTAGGTTTTCTTCAGCATCGCCTGAGGTGTACAGCGCGGCGAAGGACATCATGAATCTCATCGGCGGGCCGCGCCGCCGGCGCTGCCGCGGAAGACGCAAAATGATCATGTACATGTGTACGAGCGCGGGGTGCAATATTTTCCCAAAACCAACGCGACGAGATGAAGGAGGAGGTAGCGAGCAACGCCCTGTGCAAAGAAAATGACAACACATACACATATGCATATACACATATGTGTATATACATACGGCATAGTCCACTCAAGATCCCCCGATGTGCTGTCCCAAGGCGAGAGTCTCGTCTTACTGTACACGGGTGGGGCGGGTGAGGTGGACGGAGAGGAAGATGATGAGGTGATGAACGAAGAGGCGGGAAGGCGGGCGGGCGGCGGGCGGGCGGGGGGACGACGGGGGGTCGGGATTTGAATCGACTCCTAAAAGATTTTCTCTTGCGGCGGGAACCTGTTGAGTACTGGATGTTCTCTTGGAGACGGGGGTTGTTCAGTGCACGGTATTGTCTTGGAGACGGAGACTGTTGAGTACAGGGTGGTGCATGCTACACGGAATGCGGTCGGGCGGGCGGGCGGCGGGCGGGCAGGCGGGCGGGTCGGGATGCTGATAGAATCCTTAAGGATCCTCTGTTGAAATGGGAACCTGTTAAAAACTGGGTGTTGTCTAAGAGACGAAGGCTGTTGACTACAGGGTGCTGTCTTAGAGACGGAGGCTGTTAAATACAGGGTTGTGCATGGTACACGGAAGACGGGCGGGCGGGCAGCGGGTGGGCGGGCGGGTCGGGAGTTGAATCGACTCCTTAAGGATGCTCTCTTGCAGCGGGAGCCTGTTGAATACTGGGTGTTGTCTTGGAGACGGAGGCTGTTGACTACAGGGTGTTGTTTTTGGAGACGGAAGCTGTTGAATACAGGGTAGGGTGTGCTACGCGGGAAGGCGGGCGGGCGGGCGGGCGGCGGGCGGGCCGGGCCCCCGGCGGGGTTGCGGATCGGGATTTGCATCGACTCCGTACGGGCTCTCTCTACACGCGGGAGCCTATTGAGCACTGGGTGCTGCATTGGAAACGAAAGGGTTGAGTACAGGGTGTCTTTCTGGAGACGGAAACTGTCCCGTAGATGTTCAAAAACATTGTGGGGGGATCTGGACTGGACCATGCCCATTTTATGAAATATATAATATATATATAATATAATATATATATATATATATATATATATATATATATATATATACATACACACAACTACATACATCATACATACATACATACAGTTGAATAAATGTGCATAATTCCTACAGAGAAATACACATGCATACACACGTATATGTTTTATATACGTGTGACTATATAGCAGTCCTCAGACACACGTGTTTCAGAGGTCCTCTGTCGCGCAGGGCTGCCCCGAGAGAAGTATTCACTGGAAGAAAGAGGCCCCTGACATTATCCTGCTCGCCGAACAATAAAAGGAACATGGTCGGCATGCTGCGCCGCTGGCGCTGGCGCTGAAGATGCACATGCAGATTATATATATATATATATATATATATATATATGTATATATATATATATATATATGTTCTGAGATCGGTGTTACAGCCAGGCCAGGAGAACTCTTTCCTCACCTGAACGCTGATTCGATATGTGTGCTGCGAGTGTCGAGAGCTTTACCTGCACGAGTGCCGTAGCGCAGCACCCGAAGAGAACCAAGCTGGACAGGATAGACAGTATATAGCTTGAAACCCCAGGGTAGGCTTCTCGCCCTTAAAAGGCGGCTGAGAGGGAAGATTGGGGAGGCAGAGTTGAAGCATTAAAACGGGGTCTGTGGGTGCTTGAAGCCAGGATGCTTACGGAGAGAAGCGGCCCTCACGTGACGCCCTTCCAGAGAGCAATAGCGTGTGAACGAGCATCAATGTTCTGAGATCGGTGTTACAGCCTGGTCAGGAGAATTCTTTCCTCATCAGAACGCTGATTCGATCTATGTGCTGCGAGTGCCGAGAGCTTTACCTGCACGAGTGCCGTAGCGCAGCACCCGAAGAGAACCAAGCTGGACAGGATAGACAGCATATAGCTTGAAACCCAAAGCGCCTTTCTCTTCCAAAGATAAACCCTGGTATTTACCGCAGCCCATCACTATTCCCAATGCTTAGACAGAGTTGGCGAGATAGCGAAGGAGAAAGCGGCGACGATTCGACGACAAAGCCTCGGCGGATAGGGTTCGGCCTGAAGCGTTCGGCGCCGGCCCGATTGATCATGTCCTTGAAGAACAATGCGAGGTCGGCCGCTGAATTTGCAAACTTTGCGGCCGGCGCAAGGACGCTGAAGGTGAAATTACGAGGTGAACATTAGCAGAGACAAAACGCGCACGCATCCGCCAAGGCATCCCGTAAAAGCACTAATCGATTACAGCGGTGTCAACATCCGAAAGCCTTTGGATCTGCTGCCAACACGGGAGTTGCCACAGCCGGCTGGCACGGGGATTTTCGATGGTCAGTGGGATGCCTTGAGACCGAGCGAATCTAAAGAATCCGGCAGACAGCGACGCCAGATAATTACCTTCTTTCACGCGAGCCCGAATCTGCGGAGACAGCCCAGGAACACCACAAGGATAACGTGAATTACGCCACCCTTCTCGATTTGCGGCCGAAAACGCGGTGCACGGAGTTCCCAGCCAGAGGCCCGCGACGAAGCCCGCCCGAATCCCCCCCCGGATACGCTGACACAACCGCTTGTTGTTTAAGTCGCGGGAGGGGCCCGCTCGGATGTCAATCGAGAAGATAGGAATCCCAGACAGAGACTTGCGCGCGCGCCAGGCTGCACTCCAGCGAGCCTCCCCAGCGAAGAGTTCTATGGCAAAACGGCCCCCACGAGAAGCTGCTGCGCGAGGCGCGGCAGCGGGGTCACTGAGCCAATGTGCTCCGCGAAGAGGTCGGCCGCTGCCTGCGAGTCCTGGTCGAGCTGGTGCACCTGCTCGTTGAGGCGCCTGGCGTTGACGCATCGGTGCAACGAGGCGCCGGAGTCCCAGCGCCCCCTCTTCTTCACCCCGAGCATGTCTCGACGCTCGGAGGGAAGCTCGCGGGGGGCTTCCCTGTGGCGCATCGGATGGGTCGGCAAGGGCAGGAGGGGGCACGCATGCGTCTTGCTCGGGATCTTCCCCTCTAGGAGATTCAGCAGGACCCCCCAGTGACGGAGTCGAAGAGGGCCGCGAGGGACTGGGGGGATTAGATCCTTCAGGCGGGCCTGCTGGAGCTCCGACGGCCGGCCGTAGAACGCGAAGTCCAGGAGCATCAGCCTGCCGGCGCCCACGTTCCCGTAGGCCACCATCTTCACGATCACGAGCGCCGCGAGGACCCACGGCCTGGGCCACCTGGCCTGCTTCGGAGCCGGGCGGCCGAAGCCCCGCAGGGCGGCCAGCGCCCGAGGAGGCCCCCGAGTATTCCGCGACAGTCGGTAGGACTCCA